GGGGGTGGGGGTGGGGAGGGGTTTGCTTTTGTGCCCAACCCAGTTTCTCAGCTTGTGAACTCGTAGAATGCTTCTGCCTCAGCCTCCCGAGGAGCCGGCACTCAGGTGTGCACTAGGTTACCTGGTTCATCAGATGTTTTTCTGTCCCTTTACAGTTGTTGGAGAGTACTCAAAATATCAAGGTCATAGCTACCTGAAATTATAGTAATTGTTAGGTCTGCTGCTACTAAATCTTGTTAATGTAGAACTGTATTTTGCTAGTTTTTGAATTCCCATTTTATTCATTTAAGGGAGTATGTAATGTGAATGTATGTACTTAGAGTTATCCAGTTCTGCTATCAAACAGGATGACAAATCAAACAGGATGAATGTAACTCCTAAAACGTGTGACGTATAGAGAAGCTAGCAGTTCATAAGATATAGCTGTGGCGCAGGCCAGAAGGTTGGGAGACAGTAAAAGAATCCTAAAAGTTAGTAGTGCCTTGCTGGCTCTATTGAAGGTAGACAGAAGTGGCATATGATGGAACACGTCAGAGTTTTACTCTACAGTAACAAAATCAGAAGGTGTGTTTATTCCACTTCTAGGTCAACCACTGCCTGGATTACTTTTCTCATTGCTGGGATAAAATTTATGACATTCAAAGTTAAAGGAGGAAAGGTTTACGTAAGCTCACAATGTGTAGTAGTCATCTGGCTCCAAGGCAGGGTAACGTGGCAGAGGAGAAACAGCAGTTTGCAGGGTGGAAGATGGGAGGCAACAAGCAGCAGCAGCCACCAGCCTGTCTTCACTCTCCTTTACATTCCATCAAGGCTGCAAGCAATTGATTGGTGCCCTCCACACCCAGGGTGGGGCTTTCATTATCCATTCCCTTAATTCCAACATCACACCCTTAATCCACATCCACACACCCTAAGCCAGGCACCGTTGAAACTCTCCACCTATGAGCAAATGAGGCTTTTGGGGGAACATCTAGATAAAGCTGAACAACACCTATGGCACCCCCCATTGGTCTTATTCTGGTGCCTGTGTGCTTAGCTTATAAGATGCATATAAATTCCACCTCCAGCAACAGGTAGGTTCAGCTGCTGCAGCTGTGTCCTGTGTGTCTGACAGGACAGGGGTGAGCTGACTCCACTGGGACACATCCCAGCCCCGGTCCTCTAACCCCATCATCAGAGGAATGGGAGGGTGCTGGAGAGGAAGCACACGTGCACATTCTCTCCCTAGTTTCTGTGATGCTGTCCTTCTGGCTTGCAAGTGCTCTTTGCTACAGGTGGTAGGTAAATTAGGTGTTCCAAACTAATTTAATAAACCCTGCAATTCAATCCTTGTGAATTGGTGTGTGAGACTTTCACTTTTGTAAGTCTGGGATAGCTGTCATGAGGATGTACCTGGAAATTACCACTGCATTAAAGCAGTCTACTGCACAATGTATGTTCTGGAGAGGGGTCTGCAGTCACAGGACTGCCCAATGGGACTGGAGTACACATGCAGATGGCCAAGAATGCCTACCCTAGAACCCCAAGGACAGCCAGCTTGATCCAATGTCCACTCAACATTTTTGTGGGACTGGCTTAGTGTGCCCAACACTGTGTCCAATTAAGCTCAACATTCTCTGGTGTCCCCCTGCTGGAAATGGTCACATTCTCCATGTGACTTAAGCCACATGCCTCGCTGTCCTCTTGCCTTCTGTGTCCAACCCATCACCCTATCGCAACTTCTTACTTTGTTTCTTTCCACTATCCTGTCAGCTTCTGTGTCAGAGCCACCACCTGTCTTTCATGCCCATCTTATGCCCTCCTAGTGTTTTCTCCCCACAAAAGCATGTGACATTTATTTACATTCCATCTTATGTTGCTTTTGCAAGCAAAATTCACCAAAGGTTTCCCACCAGACCTAGGATAAAATCCAGGCTTCTGTGATGGGATGGGATTATTGGCTGTTTCTTTGATGTCATCCTTGCCCTCCCTTTAGGGTTTTCACTGCCCCAGCCACACAAGCCTCCTGCCTGTCCCTCTGGAGACGCAAGACCACCCCACCGCAAGGCATTTGCACAGTAGTCCCTCCTGCTTGTGATCAGCCCTTGCCCCAGCTCCTGCCCAGCTCTGATTACTGCAGCTGATGCCTGTCCCTGTGCCAGCTTCATCTCTACCCTGCATCGAGTCTCCTTGGTGCTTCCTGCTCCTGTCCATATCATTTGTGCATCTGTCTGCATTACTATTTCCTTCACCAGCCTGTGAGCTCCACTAGCACAGGGCTTTTATTGTTCTGCTCAGGGCAGTAGCCTGTGCTAGAGTGAGATTCAAAAAATGATTATTGAGTGGATGACTGAATCCCACACCTGATTGTCCTTCTACACCAGTGCAGCTGATTAATAGTGTCACTTCACACTTTCAGAGCTTTTTGTATTTTTATAAGGGGCTTTTGTAAACATTTTGTTTACTTCTCATTGTGATGCTTTAAATCACCAAAAAAGATTTTTTAAGTAAAACTTATATCACTTAGAAGCATTCAGAATGTCCACCTACACAGCTCTATTTTTCCATTACAAAGTGGTATTCAGTGTAAGGTATAAATATTTCATTTATACTGCACACTTGTGTGACAGAGGGCTGAGGATGAAAACACAACTATCTTGATATATAATTCATCTGTACTGTGTGCAGGCTTGGGCCTGCTGGAAACGTCTGTGCATTAAAGACAGGGTTCTCTAAGGAATTACTTGATAATTCCTTTGATGTACAAAAAAGACACCATATAGTTTACAAAGAACTTACCCAGCTTTACCTTCAGAGGAGTGAGTTAGGTCTGGGGAGCCCAAGTGCTCTATGGGAAAGGAAATAAAAAGCTTCGACTTCCTTTGTTATAGCCTAGCTGAATAGTCTTTCTCTTCTTTTTCCCCTTGCTTTCTCGGCCTCACTTGCATCCCTTCCACATCTGCTCTTCTGTCCCTGGAGCCACCCTATGGGACATGGCCCTGGGCCAAGTAGCCTTTTGTGTGGTCAGTCACCCTGCCTCACCCAGCATCTTCGTGTTGTCATAGGTGAAAGATCAGGACTTCCTTAGGTTTGGGCCAGTACTTAGAACAAAGAAGGCCAAAGGAGCCTTTGGGGTACATTGGAATCCCTAACCTTTTTCATTTCTGATTGAAGAGGGAAGAAGTGTTCATTCCCCCTTCACAAGGGAAACATCTTTTTCTTCAGTGGACTCAGGTCTCAGGTGCCAGCCGTCAGAGGTGGCTGGGGCTGGATCATCTCATAGGCTCCCTTGAGATTGCAGCTGGCCAGGTTCTCAGCTAGTGCTGTCACTGAAGCACCCACCTGTGGCCTCTCCTCAGAGGACAGTCAGTTTCTGTGTTGTCACTTCTTAAGTTCTAGCTTTTCCAGGAGCTGCTTTAATTTTCAGATGAGAAGATGGAGGAGACTGGATGGGCCAGGGGTATAGCTCAGTGGTAAAGCACTTGCCCAGAATAGATGAGGTCCTGGGTTCCCTCCTAGCACCATACACCCTAAACTGAAGATGGATGCATGGACTGGAGAGTGAACATGGTCAGAGTCACCTGGTATTGTGGCCAGGTGAGAGCTGAGTGGCTCCTCCCTCCTTGGGGATAGAGCATCTGTGTAAGTCCTTTTGTGTAGCCACTGCTCGAGCTCTTCCAGCTCTGCTTTTTAAGCATCTTTAGTTTTCTCTGAATTTTGGAGGTGCTCATTGCTTCAAAGGAGACCTGACGCTAGGATGACATGGTTTAGGGGACCAGGCAGCCACAGCAAATGTGACCCCACAGACCCACTGCTTCTGTGGCCTCCAGAGTTCAAAGAGATACCTCCAGGGAAGGGGGCAGAGGGGAAGAGAGAGAGAGAAAAAAGAGAGAGAGAGAGAGAGAGAGAGAGAGAGAGACAGACAGACAGACAGACAGAGACAGAGACAGAGACAGAGACAGAGACAGAGACAGAGAAACAGGAAAAGAGAGACAGACATACAGATTGAGCATTGAGAATTTGAGATCACTTTGTGACCTATTGTATCTTAGGTCTTTTAAAAATAGAAAGGGACTGAGTTCAATCCCCAGTGCCACAAAAAAAGAAAAAAAAAAAAAAAAAAAAAAGAAAAAAAGGAAAAAAAAAAAAGAAAAGAAAAGGATGTCTATTCTGTCATAATAAGGGACTATTCAAACTTTTTATCAGTTGCGTGCAAACACACAAGGTAGCTGAACCATACTTTTGTTGATTTGATAGCTTGGGGGAGAAAAATATTACTTGTATTTATTTCACAAATACTGAATTTCCACACTTCACATGTGATATGTGGGCATGTCCTTTTGGTATAGGTTTCGATCTGCTGTATCAAATAGTGGCCACCAACCCCAAGACCATGGAGCCTTGAGATGTGGCTTGTTTGAATTGAGGTGTGCTATAGACATACAAGGCACAGTGGATTTCCAAACTCAGTGTAAAAAGAAAAGAAAAATTCATTAGTAATTTATTTATGTTGATTACATGCTGGGATGATAATATTTTTAAATAGCAAGATAAATAAAATATGAAAAAACCTATTTATATTCCTTTTTTAAATATAGCTAATAAAAATTTAAATTACATAGTGTTTTGCATTTTGTTTCTTTTGGACAGAGCTGATTTAGACAAATGTAAAAGAATACAGAATAAAAGATGAAATTTCTTCTTCATCATTTACCT